AGACAGTCTATTCAATAAATGGTGTTTAAAAAACTCCACATATACATGCAAAAACTAAAACTAGACCACCATCTTAGGTCAAAGAGTTAAATGCGAGACCCAAAACCATAAAACTTCTAAAAGAAAACATAAGCAGTAAACTCTCTGATATTGCTAACAGTAATTTCTGGACAAGGGAATCAAAAGGCAAAATAAACAAATGGGACTACATCAAACTAAAAAAGTTTTTGTACAGCAAAGGAAACCATCAGCAAAACAGAAAGACATCTGACTGAATGAGAGAAGATATTCGTTATGATACATCTGATAAGAGGATAATATCCAAAATATATAAAGAGTTCATACAACTCAACAACAAGAACAAAAAAATAATCCAATTTAAAAATGGGCAGAAGACCTGAACAGATACTTCTCCAAAGAGGAATACAGATGTCCAATAGACATATGAAAAGATGCTCGAAGTCACCAATCATCAGCGAAATGCAAATTAAAACCACAATGAGATATCACCTCACACCTGTCAGAATGGCTATCATCAATAAATCAAAGAACAAGTGTTGATGAGGATGTGGAGAAAAGGGAACTCTCATACATTTTTGGTGGGAATGCAAATTACTACAGCCACCATGAAAAATAGTCTGGAAGTTTCTCAAAAAAATAAAAATGGATATACCTTTTGACACAGCAATTGCACTTCTGGGTGTTTATCCAAAGAAAACCAAAACAATAATTCATAAAAGTCTATGCACCCTAATATCAATGGCGGCATTATTTGCAATAGATAAGAAATGGAAGCAACGTAAGTGCCCATCAACAGACAATTGGATAAAGACATTATGGTTCATATTTACAAGGGAATATTACTCAACCATTAAAAAGAAATGAAATCCTACCATTTGCTACGACATGGATGGACCTAGAGGTTATTCTGCTGAGTGAAATAAGTCAGACAGAGGATGATAAATACCACGTGATTTCACTTATATGCAGAATCTAAGGAACAAAAAGAACAAACTAATTTAAAAAAGACTCACAGCTATAGAGAACAATCTGGTGATGGCCAGAGGAGAGGAGTGTTAGGGGTCTGGGAGAATGGGGTGAAGGGTTAAAGAAGTACAAGTTAGCAGTTGATAGATGGTCATGGGCATGGGAGAAAGGCATAGGGAATGCAATTAGCATTAATGTAATGGCTAGGTGGTGAACCAGAGGAGAGGAAGAGCAATTAGGGGGATTGCTTTGCAAACTATATAAATATCTAACTAATGTACTGTATACTTCAAACTAATAATAAAAATAATTATTAAAATAAAGAATAAAATACAAAATTCAGTTTGTGGGGAAAAAACAAACAAACAAAAAAAGCAACTCTTTTCCAAAAATGACAACGCAGGCATAAGTATTTGAAAAACACCATTGCTTGACCTGTAAAATCTATTTATCAATGGTTGGAAGGGAAAGGAGATGAGTATAAGCAAGCATTCAATGCCAGATGTGCCTAAGGCA